GCTGTAGCTTCTTGGCATACTTTTCTGGGAGAAAATGAAATCGGACCAACCACATAGGCTTTATCTTTGTAAACAGGATGTATGAACATGGTCTATACATACATCTTATAACAAATGTAAAATTCTGTTTGAAAAGCTAAACCAGAGGTAAAACAGAATAAGCTAGAGTACTAAAACTATATATAGCAACACCAGAATCAGGCTGTTAACACTGTATCCTATTTTGCTTAAGAAAAATACACACAATCCAAGTCTCCCTTGTGCCCAGGTGAGGTCCACCGACCTCCCCAAAGCCTGGAGACGGCAGTGAGCTTGCATGTGGTCACCCTGCTTTCTTAGTCCCCTCACATTCGGTGCTACCTGCCCTCCCTCCTCACTCTCTTCACTCAGGGTCCAGGGCATATGACTTCCCATGGTCCCTGGCTCTGGAGATGGATAGACACACGTTGTCTTTCCTGCCCTGCTCATCTTCTGAAAGTAGGGGCATCAAGGAACTTGTCTCTTTCGCTTTAGGATTCTGACCACCTGGCCATGTTTTCCTCTCATCCCAGGTTTACTAAGGAAACAGCCCAGGAAAGGGAAGAGAGGTGGAGAACGGTACAGGTACAGAGTTCCACTGCTATTTCCTCACGTTTGAGCTCCTGCCTTCATCTCACCTCCATGATGCCACAGCAGCCACAAGGAGCCACCCACCTCTGCACCATCTCCATCTTTCTACCTAATGAGCCGAGAACTAAAGCTGGACCTAGATTGCTGGGGAGTGGCCCTCTGCTCCAGAAGCCATGTTGCACGATCAGCAACGTGGATGCCTGGCCTCCTCTTCTCCAAATCTGGTCATCTATTACTAACCAGAGAACAGAGAAGTAGTCTTTTCTAAAGAAAGGCAGGCTCCTTTTCTCCCTCCTGATTTTCTTTCTTTATATACACTGTGTATTTCCACATTCTCAAACTCCCTGTTAAAACAATGACAGAAAAATGGCACATGGGCACTCTGATATTTTATCTCTCGTGCATGCAGCTATGTATGCATATTAAGGCTAGTGAGAATTCCAACACACACACACACACACACACACACACACACACACACACACACACACACACACACACTTTGAAACAAGAGAAACTCCCAGAATGTACTCTTTTCAGAGTGTGAAGGCTTCTTTCTCCTTTGTTACTGCTCTCTGAGAGAGAAAGGCCAAAGGCTGAGCCAAGTGGAACGGCTGTATGAGCTAAAACATAAACTTCCCGGTGACGAGGGTGCAGCATGCTTCGTATTCTGAAGCAGTTCAAGGGCACTCAGCAGCAGCCTGTCGTGCCACGCCCACCTGCACCCTGCCTGCTGGATAGAGGCTGCCAAGTTATGGAAACAATTAGCCTTCCATACCTCACCCACTTGCCACTCGCTCACCGGCAGGGCTTTCGCACTATTCATTCAAGCAGAGCGTGATCAGGAGGAAATAAAAGGGTCAAAGTTGTGGGAGAGGCTGCCACCCTTGCAAGGAGCCAAAATAAATTAGTTGTGAAGAATGAAATTCAGTCAGGGATAGCAGAACAAATAGAATAGTTAACCTATGACTAGATATAGTAAAAAATACATATTGCTTTAAAAAAAAACCTGTATACTAATATTTATGCTGTGATGGCTGTCTCCACTGTCAGCATCACTGGAATGAGAAAATAAGATTGTAAAGCATACAACTGGAGTGTCTGTGAGGTCTTTTCCGGAGACGATGAACACTAATAGGGGAAGATCTGACCCAAGGGGGCCTACATGACAGCATATTCTCTCTTTTCCTGGTAGTCATCACGTGGTATGCTATACTTCTTTGCAAGCTCCCTGCTATGAGGGCCATGGGTGGGGTGGGGTGAGGGGAACTTAAGTTAATTTCCTCCCAATAAGTTGCTTGCGTCAGGCATTCTACCCAGAAAGGAGAAAGCTAACATATATGCTACCCTTTTGTTTTCCAATGAACACTGAATTATTTACATGACTCTGGTCCAGGTGATCAGCCAGTAACATGCTTCTGGTACACAAATAATGATCTAAGCTCTGACCCCTAGCTCCCAGGTAAAACACAGGCGCTCAAACATAAGCCTGTAATCACACCACTGAGAGGCTGACACAGAAGGAGCCCTGGGGTTTGCTGGCCAGCAAGTTTAGTCCATTAGTGAGCTACAGGTTCATTGAGAGATCTGTCTGGGCAAGCTGTTGAGGAAGATGCCCAGCATCAACCTCTGGCTCCCACACATGCCAGAAGATACACTCATGAATATCTGCATATTCATACACCACCCACAAGTGCAAACAAAACCAACCAGATAAAAACTAAGTATTGAACAACTTATGGGCCTGTCTTAGGGTGACTATTGTTGTGACAAAACACTGTAACCAAAAACAAGTTGGGGAGGAGAGGATTTATTTGGTTTACACTTACACATCATAGTTGATCACTGAAGGAAGTCAGGGAAGGAACTCAAACAGGGCAGGAACCTGGAGGCAGGAGCTGATGCAGAGGCCACGGAGGGGAGCTGCTTGCTGGCTTCCACCTCATGGCTTGCTCTGCTTGTCTTATGTTACCCATGTTACCTGCCCAAGCATAACTGGGATTGAAGGTTCAGTATAGACAAAGACATAAGTCACTACGGAATTCTTCATATAAAGCTCCCAAGACCAACATCTATAAATTCGAGGCAAAGATAAACCACTAATCAAAACTGCTGCCTCTCACATTCATTTAGGCAATGGGTGGATAGTGATATTTTGTCTAGATTCTCTATTTTAGCTGTTTCTTTGCTGGCAGTTTAATTCCTTTTTCCATGTATGGGCAGAAGGAAAGGCTTCCAGGAGAACTCTACTCATCTTCCCTACACCCAAGTCCAGGAGCCCACTTAGTTTGTGCTGCCAGCCTGTCTCGGGCTCAGATGGTACCACCACACTCTGCTCTGGTGGAGGATGATCGCTGCTCACTCCATCACAGGGGGCCTGTCAAGTCTTCTTTCCCAGCATTCTTCCCCATTTTTTCTAGGAAGCAGATAAAAATTTCCAGCGCGCTTCAAACATCTCTGTTATGGGGAAACAATGTGTGAGCAGCAACAGGCCCTTCTGTCTAAGCATGTCAGCACATACACATACTGAATATGACCACCATGTGTCCAAGGGCACAAGCCCCCCCCCCCCAGAGGCTCCTCAGGGGGGCAGTAGTACACTTCCTAACTCCAGGGTTGCAATGCACCCAGGTATTTTGCTAATATGGCTTCATTAATCCCATTTCATTATGGGGAGCCCAGGGCCTGCAAGTCTTAACCAATGCCTTCATTTCTTTCATTCTAGCCTTCCCCCCAGAAAAGGAGGAGATGTTATCATTCCCGACACCCTAACTGCTTCCCGAGTCCCATGGCCGTGCATGTGCTGTCAGCATTCAGGCAAAATGCTTAGTCACTCCAGGGCCTTCCATCCTACCTAATCTGCAAGTAGCTTGGTCACATAATCGATGTGCATGCCTGACATGGCTAAGTAAGCCCCTATACGCATGCTCGAGGTGATCCTTAAAAGCAGACTCCACCCGTTCCCTCCCATCCTGCACTTTTCTCTCTGGCAGGCCTGCTCACTTGCCCATCTTTCCTATCCCCCCAATAAAACTCTTAAAGTGGGTTTTGTTGTATCTTGTGGTCCGTTCTTCCGTCCGATAAATTAACAGGGGTCATAGAATAAGCCTTATGGCCCCCTCCTCCTTCTGGTTCTTCTCAGTGTTCAAGTTCAGTCAAACCAGAGGCCTTAGAACATCGTGAGGTCTCATCCCTCCAGGCCTTTATGGCAGAGGTTTGGGGTTGGGCTCAAGAGTGCACTTTTTTTTTTTTTTTTTTTTTTTTTTGGTTTTTCAAGACAGGGTTTCTCTGTGTAGCTTTGCGCCTTTCCTGGAACTCGCTTTGGAGACCAGGCTGGCCTTGAACTCACAGAGATCCGCCTGCCTCTGCCTCCCGAGTGCTGGGATTAAAGGCGTGCGCCACCACCGCCCGTAGAGTGCACTTTTAAAACAAGCCGATGCTGACTGAAGGTCTGCACTTTCAGAGAATCAGTGTCCTCTGTGATCATCACACATGAGAGCCAGAGACAGACAGAGAGAGAGAGAGCGCTCATGTATGCTCGTGAGGTAGGGTGTTAGTGCTTGCATAGACTACAGAACATGGGGTCTTAGGTGTCCTGCAATGTTATTCTCTTCCTTACTCTTTTGGGAAGGTTTGTCACTGAACCCAGGGCTAAGATGGTAGCCATCACACCCCAGGACCCTCTTCACCCACCTCCCACCCCCAGCTCTGGGCTTGCAGACACACTGCACTGACCTGACTTTATGTGGCAGCTGGAGACAAACACTGATCCTCATGCTTGCAAAAGTAAGCTCTCTTCAACACCAACCCAGCTCTTCAGCCCCTTAAATTGTTTATCGTATATTATTTAGGGCTCTGGATCACAAATTATAGAAGACTTTGGTACTTGTTTAATAGGAAGGATTTTATTTTTTAAGAATTCAAGGGTGCCTTTATCTCAGGCACATTAAGCAAGATCTCTATCATTGAATTATAGTCCCAGCCTTTAGTCTGCTCTTTTCATAGTACTTCATTCCTTTCATTTCAAGGCAGTTGGTCTGAAAGGTATTTTTCTTACACACTTTGGTCAGAGTTTTGCTCTGTGCTCTGTCTTATTTCTACTGATAATCAATTTGAGATCCTGAGATTCCAAAGCCACAGTCATTTGTTTCAAAGTAGTAGTAATTGCATGAGCCATGGGTCGCAGCCCTTCTCGTCCTGAGGCTAACTCATGAGGCTTAGTGTATGTGCTTCTCCCTAGAAATCCAGTGCGACGGAAGCATATGAAGTCCAGTTACGTGAAGACTACAAGGCCTGTGTGGATCTCTAATTGCAGATATGCTAACTGTGGCGACCACAGAGGACACTGGTTCTCAACAGAAGGGGAGATGGAAGAAAGATGAAACCAGCAATACCATAATACATTAGACTTTAATGAAGATGGTTATCTAGCAGAAACCTAGCTCATGCATCATCATGTAACAAAGACCACTGAAGGCATCTGCCCCTGATCCAGCAACAAGACAAGCACTTCTGCAAGGCAGGCCTAGTAGTTTATGGAGATCAAGCAATCCCAACTCAAACCAATTATATGGCACATGAACACTGAGTTAGAAATAGCCTCAGCAACCGCAAAGGATGATTTTCCAGAAAGAATATTTTAATTAACACCTTTAAAAGAATTCTGTATTGTCATGACAAACCAGCATATAAAAATAGTTTTTTTAATTACAGCAGTAGTAATAATTTATAAAATGTTTTCAAAGAGATTTGATTACAGTAACACAAAAATCCCCAGAAATGTCAAAAAATGTATTTTACACATACACACATACATACAAACTGTGAAACTAAGATACCAAGAAAGCCAGTCCACAAATATTTAATAATAATCATTGTTCTTGAAGAGAAATACTTGGCTTAGTACTATTAGAAAAATATAATTATAATCCTATGAATTAATGCCACCCAAACCCAGATTTCAAGAAGATATGCCTAATAGGAGACAAGAAATATTTGAAATATATTTAAGATAACCTTACCCCACCTAACTATAATTGGAGCATGTTGCATAATTAAAATATCAAAATAGCACAATAAAAATTTAGTATACAGCCGGGCGGTGGTGGCGCACGCCTTTAATCCCAGCACTCGGGAGGCAGAGCCAGGCGGATCTCTGTGAGTTCGAGGCCAGCCTGGTCTCCAAAGCGAGTACCAGGAAAGGCGCAAAGCTACACAGAGAAACCCTGTCTCGAAAAACCAAAAAAAAAAAAAAAAAAAAAAAAATTTAGTATACAATAAAACAGCACTTTTGCTCAATGACAAAAATAACTGGATCTTCATGGTTTTTGAACAAATGACCAACTAAAGGCATTTCCATATCTTGTCTTCATCGTGCTGATGAATATAGATGAAGATTTAGCCATCAATCACTCACACAGATACATACACACGCACACGGGATAAATAGCTTAGAAAATGGAGGACTTACTTTATGACTTAGAAAAAGACATACAAATTATCAACTTAAACATATATACAAAACGTAAAATGCCTATAAAAGTCAGAAACATACAACCACCTGGAGGAATTACTGGTAACCAAGACCTATGTTTAGGTTGCATAAAACCTCAACAAGAGTGGACATGGTGGCATACACCTTTTCTCAGGACTTGGGAGGCAGAGACAGATGGATCTCTGTGAGTTCTACGACAACCTGGTTGACATAGTGAATTCCTGGCCAGCCAGAGCTACACAGTGAAACCCTGCCTTAAAAAAAAAAAAAAAACCAAAACAACAAAACCCTTCAACCAATCTATAATAAAAAGACAAATGATTCAATAGATAGAACACACAAATGAGTTCTAAGTAAAAACCAAACCAGAGTTTTTATCCTATTAATGCAAGTGGTAAAGATATGATACCGAATATCCCTCATGTTAGGAGACAGCAGGTACTCACTGTGAGTAGAAAGAATAAACGATAAAACCCCTTTGGAAGTCATATGGAAATACCTCTTCAAATTAAAAATGCTCATTCTCTGGCCCACCCCTTCAAACCCTTAGCTATGCTACACAGAAATCCTTAGAGCCAGAGACCTAAGCAACATGTTTACTTAATTCAGCAGTGGTAATTCAGCAGTGGTTTGTAATTACTGTGTGTGTGGGCGGGGATCTGGGGGGAACAGAGGAAAACTCCCTAATTTTAGGTATATGATAGGCAGAGTAGATTGTAAGACATACAATGTGCAAGTGAAGACATTTCAAGTTACAGACTTTTCTTTATGTAAAAAATTACCAAAGCTCTACATTTCGTTTTCTGTGGCTATGTATTGGGATCAAAAACTATTGTTAAAAACAAATCTGTCTGATATTTTTATAAGTAAAATGTCATCATATATGATGCATATTAAATTTCAAAAGTAAAGATTAAAGTTCAAAAGTAAGTAAGTAAGTATGCAGAGACTGATAACATTTTAAGAAAAATATGTACACCAAAATACTTTGTATTTTTTTTTCTTCTCTTCCTTGATGTCAAATGTCTAAGGTTTTGGAGGGTTATTGACAAAATAATGTGGTAGCACTGTTTTAAGACATCTCTAATAAAAATGACAACAGGATCAAGCTTGCACTTTTACCTGAAAAGGGTAAGAAAATTTAGTTTATGATTTATGGAAGGAAAAAAAACCCACTTGAGCTCACAGCTCCTATCATTCTGTTTTACTTACTACAGTGTGGGATTATATGCACTCAGGCTTTACTGCAGCTTTAAGCCACTGTCTGTCAAAGTCAGAACTTAAGTCATTACTAACATTCATGTCACTGCCATTGACAAATTAATACAAAGTCAGTAGAAAGGAGGGTTGCATTATTCCTATAATAACTGACAAATTTTACCTCACACAAGTAGATCAAAAAGCACTTTAATAATACATTTCTCATTGGTTTGTTTTCATAAGTTTGATTCTACATTTGAGTGTGTGTGTGTGTGTGTGTGTGTGTAGGATAGAGGACAACTTGAAAGAATTAGTTCTCTCCTTCCACCAGGTGGGCCCTAGGAATTAAACTTGGGCCTCTAGGATTGGTGGCAAGGTCCTTTAACCACTGAGCCTTCTTACCAGCCCCTCTTTGTATGGACTGTTCTTTCCTGGAAAGAAATCTGTAACGTTCTCTAAGCTAATGCTGAGCAAGAGTACCCAGGTGTATTCTAGGAGTAGTTTTTAGAGCATGGGTCCTTAAGAATTGCTTACTCTTCGTTTGTTACTATTTGAGCAGGATCTCATGTATTCCAGGCTAGCCTCCAGCTATGGTTTCCAGTATCTTTCTAGTCTTCCAGCCTTTCCCTCTGGAGTGGTGGGATTGCAGGTGCACACCAGCAAGCCTGGTTTATACAGGCTCTGTGCTACATCTCCAGCCCCAAGAATTGCTTCATTTTAATTCCTGAGTTGCTAAAGCCTGGGCCATAGCAAAGAAAATGATGACAAGTGTAGTCAGCAGTTTCTTCCCAAATAAACATGTCAGAGGAGGAGGAGAAACTGTCAAAGCCAGTCTCAGCGGACCTTGGAATCTCCCTGTGCAAGTACCTGCTGCACCTCTTCCTGGTGCGCCTGCCTGGAGCAAGGACCTCTCACATTTTGATCTAACAAAAACTTGTTTAGGAAGGAGTCAACAGAGAAAGCTCTAGATCCTGTGCTATAAACTAGATGTGCCACAGGTCCCAGACAACCTTACTTGGACTCTTCTGTAACACAGGAGGGCTGTACCACAGGTACCAGACATAAAGCACAGCTTCAAGAACCAACAATTTATGCTTCATCAAAAGCCACCCAGAAAAGAAACACTCATTTTTCTAATATAACAAAAAGCATTTTTAGGAATACATTATAGATCTGCTTTACTTGACATTGTCAATTTAATTCAGCAAAACTTCATACTAAATAGACACTATTATATGTAACATACTGAAAAAATACTAAATGGCAATAATTCAAAAAGCCTCATGTATGTGACTAGTGTGAAGGAACTCAGGTGGTTTTAGATCCCCTAGGTGTTCAGAGCATAAAGAAGGTATAGTTCTACAGCTACAAGGTATTTTGCACTTAGAATACAGAACACTGCTGGTCGAGCATTGCCAGCACGTCCTTCCATACTGAGCTGGGAATGAAGACAAGTTCAACATTTCACATACAGCTTTGATTTCTGTAATCACTAAGTTTATTTTTTACAACAAAGCACTTTTGATATAATTTAAAATACACATGCTTTGATTGAAGAGAGACTGTAAATGAGTCCAGTCTTCTTCTACCTGTGATGACAACTTTACCAGTTCTTCTAACAGCACTGCCTCTGAAGGAAGCATTTTGAGGTGTAACTGGAAAGAAAAGTATGATGGTTAAGTTGGACATTTTACTTAAGAATATTAAAATTTTGATTTTTTTCTACCAAGGAACCTAAGAAAATAGTATCTAAATTTCTTTCTGAAATGGTGGTTTATTGTTCTCTGATTTCCTGCTGTTCCATCAAACTATTTTTTACTTCAAACTTTTTTTTTTTACTTCAAACATTTTTTAAGCCACCATCTCTCTTAACAGAACTAAGTAAGTTTCATTCTTCCATACCACAAACCCCAGTTACCAGATTGTGCTTCCAGTTTTCTTCTCTATACCCCACTGATGATGGTCATTGATTTTAGTTTCTAAAGATTTATGCAAATTTGTTTGTAGGGACTAACATTTGGTAAACACAGGAAAACCTATAGACACATTCTGGGATTTCTTTAAAAAAAAACAACCTATCTGGTATTATGCAAGTATCCAGCTTGTAAATGAATTTAAAATACTTGTGTCTTCAGCACATTACACTACCACAGTGGACCCACAAAGCACATCTCTATTTCATTCATCAAAAACCAAGTTGTGCCAAATTACTTGAAACTGATGGTGGTGAATACTTTAATTTCAGCAGCAGACAAAAATGAACAAACAAAAGAACCCAACTTTCCCTTATGATCACAGGAAATTTAAAAAAAGTAACTACTTAAAAAGTTAAGGTTCACCGGGCGGTGGTGGCGCACGCCTTTAATCCCAGCACTCGGGAGGCAGAGCCAGGCGGATCTCTGTGAGTTCCAGGCCAGCCTGGACTACCAAGTGAGTTCCAGGAAAGGCGCAAAGCTACACAGAGAAACCCTGTCTCGAAAAACCAAAAAAAAAAAAGTTAAGGTTCAGCACAAGTAACAAACAGATGACAAATAGGGATAAAGTCAAAATTATGCCAAGTAATAAAATAAAGACTACAAAGCGCATAGCCCAGAAAGCTACTGTTTAGTTACAGTTAGCCAGAGTATTCATCAGCCACATAATGACTGGCTACCTATTTGACACTGTGGATGCAGAGCATGTCCATCTGTTGTAGAATATTATTTTAAGGTGTGTTACTTCGTTTAACTCTGTGAAGCTGTGTTACTGTACCTGTCTAAAACACCTGACTGGTCTAATAAAGAACTGAATGGCCCAGCTAGCTCAGTCAGCAGAGCATGGGACTCTTTTTTTTTTTGACAGGGTTTCTCTGTGTAGCTTTGTGCCTTTTCCTGGAACTCACTTGGTAGCCCAGGCTGGCCTCGAACTCAGAGATCCGCCTGGCTCTGCCTCCCGAGTAATGGGATTAAAGGCGTGAGCCACCACCACCCGGCTGCATGGGACTCTTAATTCCAGTGTCATGGGTTCATGCCCAACATGGGGCACTAAAATGTTGTTTTCTTCCTCTTTTGGGGGCCCGCTACCCAGCTTCCAAATAAATCACACATGGAGGCTTATTCTTGATTATGAATGCCCGGCCTTAGCTTGACTTAGTTTCTAGCCAGCTTTTCTTAAATTATCCCATCTACCTTTTGCCTCTGGGCTTTTCCTGTTCTCTTACTTCTGTAAATCTTACTCTTACTCCATGGCTTGCTGTGTAGCTGGGTGGCCGGCCCCTGAGTCCTCCTCCTTCCCTGCCTGGCTACTTCTTTCTTCACTTCTTCATATTTTTTCTTCTTTTTCCTCCCACATTTCTCCTTCTACATATTCTCTCTGCCTGCCAGCGCCATCTATCCTTTCTCCTGTCTTGTTATTGGCCATTCAGTTCTTTATTAGACCAGTCAAGTGTTTTAGACAGGCACAGTAGCACAGCTTCACAGAGTTCAAAATGCAACATAAACAAAAGTAACACACCTTAAAATAATATTCTACAACACCCATCTTTGCAGAATATTGTTTAATAACACTACTACAAAGGAAGGGAAGTTTCTTCCATCTCACTCACCTTTAAAAACAATGCAAGGTATGCCTGGGCTAACTCAAAGTCACGCTTTCTGTCCAACATCATCCCGATCATTTTCAAAAAGGCTTGCATGACTTCTACGGAGCCACCATCATCGGGAGACAAGTTTCGCAGCTCTGTTTCAATTCCTGATGGGCCTAATTCTTTCAGAAGGTGAAGAGCAGCTTCATCTGCATTGTTGTAAAAGGAATCTAGTTATTTCTTACAATTACTTAATTTAAGAAGCTACACTCTTCCTTCATACCCCAAGCAATATATATGTAAATGGAATCAGAATTTCTTTCTGTGCATGTTTTTTTCACATTACAGCATGATGAGCGCCAAGGTTAATGAAACAGTAAAAATTTCAATAGCAGTAAAAGTACTAAAAGTCCTTAACATTTTGCATTGTCAGGAATTTAAACTTTGCTGCTCTTAAAAAAATCCCAAATCTTCACAGTAGACATTTCATTAATCATAAATCAATTAGAACAAAAAACCTGTAACATGAAGTCATCGAGGAACATACTGCACTATTAACAGTGACTACCATTAGGAACAGGATGAGGTGGGCGAATTACCTTTTCTTTCTATCACTTGGTTATTAAGATACATCAACAATATAGAAACACACAAGGGGAGGACTCTAGCCTGTTCTATCAACCCCAAGGCTCCTCTAGAGGTCAGCACTACTGTTTACTATGCATCCCATGAAAACACACTCAACACCACCAATGTTATCAGTCCCTTGCTATCTTAGTCTATGGTTTTAGCTTTTGAATCATGACAAAAATCCGATTGATCTTGTTTTCTGTCCTTTAGTATATCTTAAACAATTGTTTATTCTTTATTCTTCAATAAACAAGAAAATTAGTATCATTCTCTGACTTTTGCCCATGTGAACTCAAGTGATAATGGTATGAAACACAAGCATTCTGACCATAAAACAAGATGAGTCAAATTTCTCAGGGGAGTGACCATTTTTAAAAATTGCTTATATTTACTATAAGCTACACAGTAACCTAAAAAGTTTAAATAAAATAAAATTTTCCTTTAAAATTACATATAAAATTACCTAAAATCTTTATAAATGTAGGTATTGCAATAAATATAAAATTACCTGAAATATCTGCCTTTGCTATATTAAGAACCACATTACTAAGCAGATTCTCAAATGAAAACAAGGAGCTTGAGGTTCCCTGTTGGAACTGGCAATGCAGCACTGAAAAGCCCATGCTGTCAGGGAGTTCTCCTTCCAAACACAACCTGAGCCTCCATCCAGAAGGCTGGGAAGAGTCTCAATAGACTTACTATCAACACCATCTGAATTTAGTCACTCAGTCAGCATAACTGAAAAGCTATGTTGCTGTAGATTAGAGCCAAATTCTCAACACCTTTATTTTTACTTATTCTTTTATCTACTATGAACTCTGTTCAACTTTTCTCTCAGATAAACTGAACCAGAAATGAAGAAACTTGTTGAAATATTTCATAATTTAACTTACACTGATTATTTACCAATCCTTCTTCAAGTTTCAGGTAGAAATTTGACTTTTGAGCCAAAATCCCAAGATTTACCACCTTTGACTTAAATAAAAACAAACACACATTATTTAAAGAACATAAATATTACTCAAAATACAGTTTATAACTTAAATGCTTCTTAATTTACTCTGTTTGTGACACTGGGAGCTATACAAAGTGACAGACACCCCATAAACTTACAACACTGATCTGGTTCCTACCTGCTGGGGGTCCCCATTCTGCTCAGGTACAGCAAACCTGGGTACAAGTCCAGGAACCGTTGGGATGAAAAATGGTGCTGACTGGGGTACTTTGGGTGGCTCTTTTGGTTTATTCTTTTTCTGATGAAGAGAAAATAAGGAGAAAAAAAAATACTAGTAAGTATTTATCCTATTAACAGTTTTGAATGTCTTAGTACAAATGAAATTGAAAACAAACATCAAAATGAACAGTAGGAAGAAAACCTTTCCACGTAGAATGCTAAAATAAAATCATTTTCAACAATGCTGTAGCTAGCCTTCACTCAGGCTTCCAATGTATAAGTGCTGCTCAGGAGCAGCTCTAAGACAACGTTCATGTTCACGAAATGAATTGCTATACTCAGTATCTCTTAACAAAATAAAATATAAACAATTTAACAAATGGCTAGTCTCCAGAAGAAAATTCAAAACTAGAAGTGCAGACTCCCCCATTAGAAATAATTTGCTGCCGGGCGGTGGTGGCGCACGCCTTTAATCCCAGCACTCGGGAGGCAGAGCCAGGCGGATCTCTGTGAGTTCGAGGCCAGCCTGGACTACCAAGTGAGTTCCAGGAAAGGCGCAAAGCTACACAGAGAAACCCTGTCTCGGAAAACCAAAAAAAAAAAAAAAAAAAAAAAAAAAAAAAGAAATAATTTGCTACGATTTTGGAGAAATATGACCTTAATTCTTTTTTTGTTTGTTTTGTTTTTCAAGACAGGGTTTTTCTGTAGCCTTAGCTGTCTGGAACTTGCTCTGTAGACCAGGTTGGCCTTGAACTCGTAGAGATCCGTCCGCCTCTCTACCTCCCAAGTGCTGGGATTAAAAGTGTGTGCATCACCACCTAGAGACCTTGATTCCTTTAATTTTGTTGGAATTTAACTTTTTTTTTTATGATTCCTGCCTACTACTACTACTACTTCTTTTTTTTCTGTTTTTTCTTTTCTTCTTTTTCGAGACAGGGTTTCTCTGTGTAGCTTTGGCGCCTGTCCTGGAACTCACTCTGTTGACTAGGCTAGCCTTGAACTCAGAAATCCGCCTGGCTCTGCCTCTTGAGGGAATTTTAACTTTAATACTTTTAAAAGGAAAATACTATTGCCAATTTATAAAATATTTCATGTCATAAAAATTCCACTGAAAGTTCTATTGTCAGAATTTCTATTTTATGCAAAATTGTTTTTATTTTTTTCATTATGTGCATGTGTGGGGGGGTTTGTGCCCTTGAGTACAGTGACCACAGAGGCCAGAAGGGGATAACAGATCCCCTGAAGCTGGAGTTACAGGTGGTTTTGAGACCAATGTGGGTGCTGAGGACTGAACTCAGGTCCTCTGTAAAGCAGTACCTGCTCTAACCATAGAGCCATCTCTCCAGCTGGAAAAATTTCTTCACATTGTTCTGTCCTCAGGGATAAATGGGCTCCCTTTGTTTTCACCACTACAGTATCATCAGACATCCCTCAGTCCTGCCTCATGAACTCACTTGCTGACTCTGACACAGAAAGTTCTGAAAGTCTACTTAGCAGCAGAAAGAACATGCAACAGTAAAAGGTTAATTGTGGCTTAATAATAATAATAATAATAATAATAATAATAATAACCCTAGTATAACTTTCTTAAACATAGCAGTAAGACACACACATATTTAGATAACCACTTCTCTTTCTTTTGTTTTGAAAGCAAGAAATATAACTTATTGGACCAGATATTAAAATAGCCTGGTTCTAAAAGCCTGCAGTCATGGACTGCTTCTGCTACAACCAAACACCTGCAGTGCGCTTAAGCGGACATAGAGAGGGGACCTCTGTGATGACATCCATGAAACACCATTCATCAAACAGCAGAGCCTGACGACCACTCCCCTCAAACCCTCAAAGCAGGAAATGCTGCTGGAGTACAGGCTGGGACGCAGCCTCAAGACTACTACAATGTTACCTTGATAACATCAAGATTCAGAAGGTTTTTCCAGCGTGACTCAGGGAGAAGTGACAGAGTCACCAGGTGCTCACTCAACTGTTGTGGCGACTCATACTCTATCATTTCATCACTTGGCTCAATCTGTTCTTCCAACACTTCCGGACCTTAAAACAGACGCTCAGGTAAGACAAATGAAGGCCAAAGCTCTATCATATAAAAGAACTGATTTCATCCCACATTCATTTGCATTTTATAACATTCAATCAATGTAGCTTTGCAAACTCTGTTCCCATATTTCCTTTGCTTATTCCCTTTTCCTTCTTTCCTCCTATTAATTATAATTCTCATCAGTAGACTTCAAATACTTTTACACTGGTAATATTTTATATCTCAAAGATATATCATCAGTTATGGCTTTCTATAAATTGAAGTCATTCAACATATTTTAAATCAGCTAAAAAAACTTTGAATGCATTACATTTTGATTTTTTTGTAGCAATAACCCAACAGATTTTTAATACACCTCAGAAATTATTTTGTTATTTTGTGATTACCTTGGGTTTGACAAGTCCCAGGAAGCATCACTACCGAAGGGACATAATCTGGAGGAAGTGGTCGTAAGGAGACAACTGAATAGAGGGAAATATTCGACCTGAGGAAGCAAAAAGCAAGTATTTAATAACAGTATCATTACTACAGAAACTTTAATATCTGGTAATGATCTCGAATTTGGCCAGAGACTACAATGGCTAACTAGTTAATACCTCAAAAGAGACTATTAATTTGAAAATGTTATCATAAAAAAGCTGTATAAACACATTAATGGGGCTGCAGAGCACATAGCAGTTAAGAGTACTGGCTGCTCTTCAGGAGGATTGGGAGCAATTCCAGCACTAACATGGTTGTTTACAACTGTCTGTAACTCCAGTCCCAGCAGATCCAATGTCCTCTCTGGTCTCTGCAGGCACTGTATGCATGTGGTGCATAGACAAACATGCTAGCTAACCACACACACATTAAATAAAATAAACGAAGTTTCCGATTTTTTGAGACAGGGTCTTACTATACAGCCTTGGCTAACTTGGAACCCATTATGCATCAAGCAGGCTGGTCTTGAGTAATGGGATTAATGGCTTGCACAACCATGGCAAGCCCGAGTCTCTGTTTTGAACATAGAACAAAAACTTGTTGACAAGATACTAGCAGTAGATAGTATTTTAATAGGATAAAATAACTTCCATATAGCATTTGACAAATACCAATCTTTACTCAAAAAAAAAAAAAAAAAAGCATGGCAAAAAGAAAGCTTGAGAAAGTGAGCTAAAGTGAATACCCTAATTATATTCTTGGGTGCATTAAATAGTTGTCAGGTGGCCTTTTCTAAAAGGGCTAAGTAATCATGCTTCTGCTATGCATCTGCAAAGCAGCCCCTAGGTGAGTGTTCAGGATAGAAATATCTGTACTAAAGTAGGGGCAGGGGCAGATTTCCCTATACTTACGATACGAATCTCAGTGGAAAACAGAAGTGGGAACTCAGGTCCCAAATCGTATTATCAGCCGTACTCTATGGAGAAACACCACACTCCTACACAGCTCCCTCCTCCCTCAACTGCTACCAACCTATTAAGTGCTCAAGCTTCACTGATTGCAGATGACACCACATTGTACTTTTTAAGATGGCCAAAATGATAATTCAAATTGACTTTTTTCCCATTAAAACTGGAACACATTTTATAACTAGAAAAGACTGATAAGGCGGACTACGCGTGCAGTCCCAACACTCATCAAATTGAGACAGGAGGATTACAAGCTTAAGACCAGCATGCAATAAATATACAAACTTCAGGACAGCTAAAAGAATTGGGTTTATAAACTCAGGAAAGAAATAAAATCTTTCTAGTTGCATGCACCTAGACTCCATCTTAGGAAGCATTTGGCTCACGTGTGCCGTGCTTTATATTATGAAGCACACTAAAGTTCAGCAGTGGTTAGCCAAGGTCACACAGCTACACAGGGGGTCAGGTCCTAATGGGGACTTCCTTTGCTAATCTTGAAATCTCTTTAGCAATTGAATCTAATCGACAAATTTAATAATAGACATAAATGATGTAATTTAGAATGTAAACTTGAACAAAGCTGTCTAAATTATCAAGCATCAGTTGTAGACTCATAGTAGATTAATTAGTCTATGTGACAGTTATATATAAAAACAAACGAAATGGCAATTTTAACCCCCACTGATTTTGACCATTGTCATCTTCCTCCTCCTCCTCCCCAAAATAAAAGAGGTAGTGTATTAAAGAACTCACCACAGGTAAATTCCAAGGTGATCCACATGGGAAGTTGCTAGAAAGTCTCCAGTTGGGGACATAGTGACATTGAGAGGAGCTGAGTCCAACAGGAAGCAGTCAATAAGGCTACAAAGAGAAGTTTAAGTACTTAGCTCTACTTGTAGAGGTGTACTCTTATTTATTTATTTATTTATTTATTTATTTATTTAAGTTTTTCGAGACAGGGTTTCTCTGTGTAGTTTTGGTGCCTTTCCTGGATCTTGCTCTGCAGACCAGGCTGGCCTAGAACTCACAGAGATCCGCCTAGTTCTTCCTCCCACTGCTGGGATTAAAGGCGTGTGCCACCACCGCCGAGCTGTAGAGGTGTACTTTTAAAAAAAAGTATTTTTTTTACTAAAATAACAAGCAACAAAAGTTGGGGGGAAAGCATTTTGTTTTTTACAAATTATAGCCAGAAAGATCACTAAGCACTGCTTTGTCAACTAAGCTGCTATGTGAAAACAGACAACTGGGAAGAACCAAAACAGTAAACAGACTGATAAACTGGAGAAGATTCAACAGTAAGGAGAATACAAGAAATACTGTTTTTCTTACCCCAGTTTTGGTACACTATATATTGAGAACAATTTTAAAGACATCACACATCAGACATTGAAAGTAGAGTAGGGAGGGACCATTATGCAAAGCATACCAACACAACCCGCACATCGTGATAGTGAGCCACTGGATGTTTCTGAGGAGATGACTTCATAAAGAAATTCCCCATCAGAATAATGCAGACTACATTTGAACAGGAAGAACAGTGGGATTGCAGTAGTAATCATCTAGCAGCAAAAATCTCCAGAGGATGGTTAGTGGCTGCAGAAAGTCCAAGCAGGCCAGGGGGCAAGAGAACGTCTAGAGCAGAGGCTCCTCAGCCTGCTGGAGGAAGAATACCTTCAGGAAGTGTAGGCGAGTTCTTGTTGTCATTTTTAAAGATTTACTTATTTTACTTATGTATAGGAATGTTTTGCAAGCATGCATGTATGTGCACCATGTGTATGCCTGCTGGATCCCTTGGAACTGGGGTTATGGATGGTTGTGAGCTACTATGTGTGCTAAAAATCCAACCCCAGTCTTCTGCAAAAGCAACAAGTACTCCTAACTGCTGATCCACCTCTCCAGCCCCAAAGTAGACTAGTTTTAAGATTATTTAAAAAGAAAAAAAAAAAAAAAAACCAGGTCAAAGACAATACATTTTTCATGGAAACATATAACAAATGTCTGAAGTTCAGGCTCTGTGCTCATACATGTGATTGAAGAGAGATAATAGCACCTAAGTTGTCCCCTGCTTCTGTATTTTGTGCTTACAAGTATCCTGATGTGAGCACTTGAGTGAAATAACTAATGCAATCTTTACCAGCCTGTGAGACACAATCATCTTTCCCTATAGATCAGAAAACCAAGTCTCAGTGAGATTTATGACTTAGATTTAAGCCCAATCAGACTGCACTTTTAACCACACAGCTACAATAAAACCATAGCTGTCATTAAAGATACACAAGCAGTGTATGGGACACTCCACAAGCAGTGCAATTGTCCATGCCAGCTCTTCAGGGAAGACATTAAGTGACAATCCCAAAATGAGAGGGGGAAAAAAACCCAAAACAACTAACAAACGCCAAACTGTATGTTCAAGATAATCACTGTTGGCCAGTTCTCTGTTATAGGAAAGAGAGGCAATAAGTGGTCTGGCTTCTGCTTAAGCCTGCATGGGGTACTCACAAGAAACACTTGTGGTAGGGACTTAAGGAAGCAAAGAGCTCAACCACTTAAAAGCCAGTGAAGATTAAATGTCAAATTATTTCTCTTAATTCACACAACCTGAACAACTCAGAGAGGACAATATTACCCCAGCATATAAGGCACACCATTTCCTCATTTGTTACTTCTCCCTTGTCCTGAAGCACAGCAGAGGTTGAAGTATGTAGGGGTGAAACCCCTACCATGTTTTAGTCCATCTGTTCAGAAAATTAACTGCTGGAAAAAACTTGTTCTAGTTGAGAATTCAATTTTGTCAATTTCATTGTGCAACTTCATTTCTACAGCTGTAGTGTGTGGGTAGACTGGCCTTCCACTGTATAAAGCACCAAACTGAGGAAGCAGTTTCCACATATACAGCATATTCCACCATCACCTACGCTCACAAAACTTCAGTGTGCAAGCTTAATCCCAGACAGAAGTCTCCTGATAACCCTAGAAAATGAGAAGTCCCGGGTATGGTGTCATTTTTCCTGATGGACATTAGCCTTCAGAGGGATCTAATCTTTTAACATCAGAGCCTTGCATATACAGAGGAACATTAAGTTATTTCTATTATTCCAGAAAACTGAACTAGTGTTAGCATATTCTATTGCTGAAGTGGCAGAATCACTTTCCACAGGAATTTTCAGTAAGGAGAACAAATAGATGCTTCTGCCTTAAGAGAAATGTTAAAACAGTATTGTCTTCCAATTTGTCTCATGCTAAAGTTCCACGAAATGTAAAGCTGAGGAAGGAACGAGATAAAACCAAATGTAAACTTCTGCTATAAAGCCATTTAATCATATGTATTTCTCATCACCTAGAGTTAGCCTGAATGTCCAGTAGATCAGAAACCAGAACAGAACACAGGAGTGGCGTCGGCATTAGCTGATGCACGTAACTTCAGGGATTATGAAGTCTACTTACATTTGCCATCAGTGAGGTCAAGAGGTACTTTAAAGAGGAGCAGCTCCAGAGGGACACAGCTGCAGGGCACTACACTCAAATATTCACTCAGGCATCACCTCACTTTTTAGATTGCATAACAATATACTCATTTGTATTTTTAATTAAGGATACTTATTTTTATTTTATGTGTAAGAATGTTTTGACTGAATGTAAATATGTATTTCATATCCTGTAGTGCTTGCCGAGGCCAGGAGACAGTATCTGGAACTGGAATTACAGACAGCTGTAAATCACCTTGTGGGTGCTGGGAACCAAAACTAGGTCCTCTACAAGAACAGCAAATGCTCTTAACTGCTGAGCTATCTCTCCAGTCTGAGTATATTCATTCTTCAAATACTTACCATGCTACATAAATGATGAAAATGTTAAAGAAGGAAAAACAAAGAACCAAAGGTTGCTGTTCTGGTATGTTTTTAAAAGGTGGAATCTAAACAAATAGCAGCTTCCTAAGCTTCTACACTAAGACACCAGCACTTCTCTATCACCTGTCTCCTACACTGAGACACCAACATTTCTCTATCACCTGTCTCCTACACTGAGACACCGACATTTCTCTGTTACCTGTCTCCTACACTGAGACACCAGCACTTCTCTATCACCTGTCTCCTACACTGAAACACCAGCACTTCTCTATCACCTGTCTCCTACACTGAGACACCAGCACTTCTCTATCACCTGTCTCCTACACTGAGACACCAGCACTTCTCTATCACCTGTCTCCTACACTGAGACACCGACATTTCTCTATCACCTGTCTCCTACACTGAGACACCAACATTTCTCTATCGCCTGTCTCCTACACTGAGACACCAACATTTCTCTATCACCTGTCTCCTACACTGAGACACCAGCACTTCTCTATCACCTGTCTCCTACACTGAGACACCAGCACTTCTCTATCACCTGTCTCCTACACTGAGACACCAGCACTTCTCTATCACCTGTCTCCTACACTGAGACACCAGCACTTCTCTATCACCTGTCTCCTACACTGAGACACCAGCACTTCTCTATCACCTGTCTCCTACACTAAGACACTGGTCCTGGGGCTGGAGAGATGACTCAGTGGTTAAGAACACTGGCTGTTCTTCCAGAGGTCCTGAGTTCAATTCCCAGCAACCACATGGTGGCTCACAACCATCTGTAATGAAATCTGGCTCCCTCTTCTGGCCTGCAGGCATACACACAAACAGAATACTGTATACATAATAAATAAATAAATAAATCTTAAAAAGAAAAAAAAAGACACTGGTCCATTCTTAGAGAGCATGACACAACCTGAACAAAGCTGATATGGAAGGTCTTCATCTTGTGTTTATTATTTTGCTCAGCCACTTACAGTGCAATTCCTTGGCAAATTACTAAATCTCTTTAAGCCTCCTTTTCCTAACTTGTTCAACAGAAATAATAATAATAATAATAATAATGATGATGATGATGATGATGATGATACCACCATGTTTACGGACACGAAAGAAGCAGAAGTGCAGAAGCACCCAGTACCAGTGTCACGCCAGCTTAGTTGACATTAAACAGCATTTGTTGCTTGATACTGCCTTTCAAGTTATATGTTCCATTCCAAATTTCAGTCCAAGAATTACTTGTTTTTTTCTTTAATAAAAATATTCCTTTGTCAAATTGGTGATTTCACTTTTTTCTAAAACTCAATGTCTTGTTTCTTGCTTGTGCATTAATCTTAAAGTGTTCATCTAAAACATACATTTTTTTTTTTTTTTGGTTTTTCGAGACAGGGTTTCTCTGTGTAGCTTTGCGCCTTTCCTGGAACTCACTTGGTAGTCCAGGCTGGCCTCGAACTCACAGAGATCCGCCTGGCTCTGCCTCCCGAGTGCTGGGATTAAAGGCGTGCGCCACCACCGCATATTTTTAAAAAAAGTTGAAACCTTACCAGATTTAAATCTACTCAACTAATTACTAAAATAAAATGTTCAGCAAATAGGCTATTGCTGAATCAAAGCTTCAAGGCTTTAAGTGCTACTTTCAGATCCTAGTTTTCCATTCCAAAGATAAACTTGCTACCAAAAAAGTCACTGTTCTTATTTTAATTCCAATTCTATGATACTCATTTTTGGGAAACTGCAACAGGTCAGGAGGTAATAGATTACCAGTATTTCTAAGTATCTTCAAACTTCTGTTCTTCAGTCTTCAAGCTATGCTAAACTAACTACACTTTGCTTCCCTCTACAGTGAGTGAGAAGGGACACAGCTGTAGACCAAAGTCCCCAGGGATTACGGTGGACTCACTCACTGGCTCCTCAGCTGTGCTCACTCTCAATCAGCTGCTCAGGCTAGAAGGTGGGTGTGATTTCTGCCTATAGCAAAGTTACAGGGAAATGAGAAATACGGGTTTTTCCTTTCTAAAGGTCAGACTGCTTGCACATTTGAAGTTAACCAATTCCTGAGAATGTGCTGGATTAGCAGTGAGTTCCACTCAGCAAACAGATTTCTGATACTGCTGTATCATTGAGAAAAGAGAGAAAAATAATATCGAGGAAAGCTATGGTCTTTTGGTTTTTAATTAAATTCAGTATGAACAATAGCAAAAATCCTCAAAATAAAATTTGGGCTCTACTTTAGAGTGCCAAGACCATGCGGGTCTTCTCAAGATTTACACACCTCACTTCTGTATCTCTGTTTTGCAGAAATGAGTAAGAGATTTGCATTTCCCTTGCTCATTTGTTTGTCATGCTGTCTGACACTGCTGAAGAGATCAACGACACTCGACAAGTAAAACATGCCAACTACATAGCAATAAACAACGGGCAAAAGTCACATGTTCAGACAGTGATTGAGAAATCATCCGAGGGACTTAAAAATGAACTCACCAGCCAGATGGAAGGTCCCAAGTCCTAACAGAGCAATCCATTGCAGCACTTATTAACCAACGGCCATCAAGACTGAATGTCTTCAAAACGAAACAAATATATATTTTTTAATGTATTTTTTATATATTATAGATATTTTTATGTATACTACATAGGTATGCATATATAGACACATGTATACACATGAATACCTTAAAGCATACAAAACTTGAAAGGATTTTAGGTTTCTAGAAATGATAAATGTGACTGTGCAAAATTCAGACTTTTAGTTTACATAAATAAAAATATATTTCCTATTTATCACTTCTCTGGGACTTACATAAATATTAGGTTTTTAAGTGAATCAAATCAGGTTCATGAAATTAACATTGTGCCAATATTTATAGCACTATTTATTTACCTAAAGAATTAATAAACTGCGCCGGGCGGTGGTGGCGCATGCCTTTAATCCCAGCTCTCGGGAGGCAGAGCCAGGCGGATCTCTTTGAGTTTCAGGCCAGCCTGAGCTACCAAGTGAGTTCCAGGAAAGGCGCAAAGCTACACAGAGAAACCCGGTCTCGAAAAACCAAAAAAAAAAAAAAAAAAAAAAGAATTAATAAACTGTGACTACACATCATTATTAAAAGTAAATTTTAAAAAAATTCAAATATTCTGAAACTGTGGTTAGAGATATTCTGTACTCTAATTTCAGCTGTAAAGATTTGTAAATAAAACAATGTTGCTTCTCTGAAAACTGTATCTACTATACTTAACCCTAGGAATTTATCTAAATCACTATGAATCTGAAGACAGAGAATGAAAATTCTGTTAAAACCATGTTAACAAAGAAATCCTACTTTTACAGTTAGCAAAAAAACAAAAACAACCTTTTCCCTGTAACAAAACTTTTATTTCTAAGAATGAGCAAAAACATTTTCAAAACACACTGAGGTAACAGATTCCTGATGCCACTTTAAATATCTGTTTCCAGCCATAAAAGGATGGACAAGAGCTCCTCCTCCATGTAGTATTGACAGTCTTAGCTTAGAAGTGAAAAAACTCCAAAGGAAAAATTAAAATTTATATATACCACAAGGATTATTTCTTATTAGCAAATGTTACCGAAGTAAACTCAAAGCTTATCTATTCAGGCTGCAGCAAGATTACCAAAACTCAGACTTTAGGTGTGGACAGCTCAGTCTAGGGAGGGGTGGTGCAGACAGTGGAGGATGGGAAAACCTGGTTCTCAGAGACAGGCTTGTGTCACAAAAGCTAACACGAGGGATTAAATGGAAGTGAACACCTCTGAGCAGGAGAAACTACAGACACAAATGGGGAAGTAAAAAGCTACAAAGGAATAAATAGGAAGAGCAAGCTGACAACAACAGATGTTTTTAAAATGCTACTTCATCATAATATCTCATTCCTACCCTGGTTCCTCCAGATACTGTCAAAACAAAATCTGCTGAAGGCAGATTTTCTCCAAGTTGCACAATGTAATTCCCTAAACCAATTTCTCCTACTTTTAAAGGAAAGGGTAAAGGACTGTCAATTCTGACTTCTGCTCATAAGTAATATGGTTGTTAACTACTAGCTTTATCATTCAGTAGTTACCATTTTCTTATTTTTTTCTCTTTTCAAATAAATAAATCTGCAATTAATACTAGATGATACCATATACTCAATACAGTCCTCAGTTAACAATTTTAAAGGTTTTAGATTTATTTAAATATAATATACTTTAAAATCTGCTTATGTTTTAACAATGTTACACATCCCCGTTGAGAAACATAACGAAAACTTATTTTTATTGAAACCTTTTGTAGTTTAGTTATATAAATTCTAGAGTACATAATGGGGGAACCCACAGAGACAGCTGACCTGAGCTCCTGGGAGCTCATGGATTCTGGACCGACAGCTGGGGAGCCCCCATGGGACCGATCAAGGTCCTCTGCATGTGTGTGACAGTTGTGTAGCTTGGTCTGTTTGTGGGACTCGTAGCAGTGGGATCAGGACCTGTCCCTGGCACTTGAGCTGACTTTTGGGAAACTATTCCCCATGCTGGGTTACCTTGCCCAGCCCTGATACAGGGGGAGGAGCTTGGTCCTGTCTCAACTTGATGTGCCATGCTTTGTTGATGGCCAAGGGAGGCCTGCCCCTTTCTGCATGGAGACAGAAGAGGATGGGTGGTGGGAGGAGGGAATCAGAGGAGAGGAGGGAGGGAAAACTGTGGTCAGTATGTAAAATAAATGGAAAAAAATTTAATAAAACTTAATAAAAAAAATTCTAGAGTAATATATCAGAACAAATCTGTTGTTCAACTACATAAATTCATTACAAATAGAAAAAAAAGGTAAATTCTCTCAGCTCATTTTAAAACTAAATGAAAAATGATATATTCACACTCAATGGAACATTCACTCTACAAAGTATATATCTGACTTTATTTAAAGACAAAATAAACTCTGGCATTTATACTTCAATCTGATAGTATCAATTCTCTGCATAGTAATAAACCATTTCCCAAAGTTTTCTTAAAATCTCTTTAAAAATTAGCCTGAAAATTAACACTCATTTTGAAAATCTTCTTAAAAATAACAGATTCAATTACTTGAACATCTTTATCCTAAACAGAAGGAGAAATGAGTGAGGTGATTTCAAAGATTTCAAAAGCTGTTCTGTTTTTACCATGTCATTTATTTGGCCTTGGTGTCCAGAGAACTCTCTGACAATCCTCCTAGTTTCTATGTCTAGGACAGTGATGGAGAAGTCATCCAAGGCAAGCCCCAGAATGCCACTGGGAAGACAAACGCACAAGTTTAATAAACAAAGAAAAAACATGGGAACCCGAATTTTGTTAATTAAAATATATCTTTGAGGAAATTAAACTATGAAGTTATTTACCAAAATGCTTTTGGTTTCTTCCCACTTGGTAATTTGCTTTGCTTACGAGTTTTCACTAAAAACAAACATGTTTACCTGTCCCTATGGAGCAGCATCATATTTGGAGATGAATCAAGGCTCAGAGAGTGGATTAAAACCTTGCTTTTAAAGTTCCAGAATTTGAGTAATCGTTCACTACCAGCTGTAACTGTCAGCTGGTTTAATCCATCCACTGCAACACCTCTAACAGAACCTGTATGAGCTTTTACATACATGTAGAAAGAAAAGAGAAATCAGATTGGCAGCATCTCCACAGCAGACCAAGTGACTCTTTTATCCAAACACCTCAAGTCTCATTAGTGATAAAACCTACAATATTGAAATTAAACTGAATTACAAAGTGGGGGAAAAATTCATAATTATCAGACTGTTCAAGCAAAACATTTGATTCCATGAAAGATAATTTAATAAAAGTTAAAATTTTGTCTAAAGCAAAGAAGAAAAATAATATGTATCTACTTTCCCCCTAATGTATTCATGACTTTCTTCCCTTTGAATATTTTAATATGGTGGGTTTTTTGGTTTTGTTTTTGAAGACAGGGCTTCTTTGTAACCCTGGCAGTTCTGGAATTCCCTCTGTAGACCAGCATGGCCTTGAACTCAGAAATCTGACTGCCTCTGCCTCCCAAGTGCTAGGTTTAAAGGTCTGTGAAACCACTGCCTGGCTTTGATATGGGTTTACATCATATATAACAATATCTGCCTCACAGAGTTGTAGAAACCCATCTAAATCTTATTTTTAAAAGAAGAAAAAGATCCAATACCTTTATCATCCCCAAAACTTCCTCGATGTATACCAGACTGCATGTTATACACATCTACAGTTCCTGATGAGAGGCCAATTATTGCAAAGTTTCCACAGGATGTTATATCTACTGCCTTTAGGCAAAAGAAAAAAAGAGGGACAATTCTATTTTTGTTTTAATTAAGTGTAAATTAACTAAGGCAACAAAATATAACTAGTTAACTGAAATTTACAAACATAATTTTTTATAGTTATTTTCAGAGATGACATAAAACTGAAAACATAATAAATACCTATTAGAAACCAAAAATATTTTAATTGTGACACATTAATAGAATATACATACATATATATATATATAAAACACTGGATAGAACACATCAATTTATATGCATTTATGTAAAATAAATATCTTAATACTCTAAATATCAGTATGTGTCAATAAGCTGGTTTTTTTTCTAAGTCAAAAATACAAGATTATCTATCTCTTGTTTGGGGTCATGGCCAGAGAAATCACTGGATGCCAATGTGTAAATTACATGTTATTCACCCAAAAGACAATGCAAAAGACTCACACACAAATAAATAAATGGATGGCTTCTAAGACTTAAGTAGAAAATATTTAAAGTTTACTGTACTGGTAACATAAAATTTACACATCATTATGCAAGATGTACTTCTATAGCACTGCATAAGAATGTTGAATGTATCTATATTTCTCTAAATAACAGAGCTTACAAAAAAAGGAAACAAAACATTCTGTTTAAAAACATTCTCTCTTTGAGAATGGAATACTTAGTCTTACCCAGTTCTGAGTACCTCATATTGATGTCGTATTACAGAGTGTACCCTCAGGAACTAAGGCATTACTTACAAGTGAAACAGGTCCCTATGGTCTCTTGCATTTATTTAATAGTATCTGGTACTGTTAGAAAACCTATTTCTAGTAATTTCCTTTTCTAATTAATTCATTCAAATATATTACCAAAGATAGAATAAGCAAAGCAAAACTAAAAAGCATGAAGGCAACCTCTGAGTGATAGCCTTCAGAGCAGACTTTCTAACAGCTGCTCCTGCTTATTTGGTACTGGTTACTGGCTTTGCTCCAGGTAGCTGAGCTGTCAGACAAATGATTCAGTACCACTTAAGATCCCACAATATATCTGTCCACCAACCACAGAGGTACACACATTATACTCTGAGTGGTCACTGGAGTCTGTAAAGTACAATTGTACATTTAAATTCCAGCCTGATCACTTACTACTTTTACTGGACTTAGACATGTTACTTACTACGTTAAGCCTCAGTTTTACTGTTATAGTACCAGCTAACAATGGACTGTAGCAAGAGATTATTGTGAGGATAAATGAAATAGTACATGCTACTCAGAGAGGCTGGATGAAACAGGTGTTTGTAAAACATTAGCTGTAATCATCTTCACTACTTATATGAAAATAAGTCTTATTAAACATTTTGCAGATAGACTTCCTAAAGAAGCTTAAGATCTCTGAGGTTTAGAAATCCATAAAAAATGCTTAAGATTTGCTTTTCATACAAAAAAATACTGCATACATACTTCTAAAGCAATTTGCACAAAATAGGGTGAAACACTGAATTATATACTTTAATAAGCATTTTCAATCAAAAGCAGAGATATCCACTAAGAATCAATAGAATGAACAAGTACATCAAGGTCACAAGACACAAGAAGCATATGTAAATGTAAATTATATCTCAATACATTAGTGCTCAGTACAATTTAAAAGCGACCCCACTTATAATAGCAAAAATTAAAAAAAAAAAAAATCTTAATTGTCTTTCTGTAAAATTCATAGGACCAAAAGAGCCAAACTAGTCTTTGGACAAGAACACACTTGGAGGAATCACACTTCCTGTTCTCAAACCTTCCTACAACACAAACATAAGACAGGGCAGTAGTTGTTAAAAATAGACACATGTAGCCGGTGGTAGTGCATACCTTTAATCCCAGCACTGGGGGGAAGAAGCAGGCAGATCTGTGAGTTCAAGGCCAGTCTGGTCTACAGAGTGAGTTCCAGGACAGCCCGGGCTACAGAGAGAGAAACTCTGTCTCAAAAAACAAAAACAAACAAACAAACAAAAACCCAAAAAAGAATATACACATACAAATGGCCCAAGATCACATGAAAAGATGCTCAACACCACAAGTCCTGCAGGAAGTGCAAATCAAAACCATAGGATGACAGTACTTCACATACAATCACAAATTCAAAAAACTCAACGAGTTAAAAAACTTGATACTGTTAAGGCATTATCTCCAAAATGTTAAACCCTGTTTTTGTTTGTTTGTTTTTCTATTAGAAGTATTAGTAAACCTGAAACAAAATTACTTAAGTGTTTCTTTAAGGAGAAAATACCATATAAACAAGGTCACTTACTGTTGCAACGATGTCATCTGTCTTTAATTCTTTTGGCTTGAGAAAATAAGCACCTATTGTAGATCTTTGGTAATTCCAGGTTGAGCAAGACAGCTTTCCCTGGTGGCAAGCAATGATACCATCCCAGTCACTTTGACGAGCTTCCTCTTAAACACAGTAAAATCATAAATCAAAATGCTGGTCCTTCCATTCATTCACCTATGAGCTAGGCATCTTATAGTCCACATGCACATATGGTCCCAAGGGCCCAAGAGTAAAACAAACAGGTTATCTCTAATAATAACCAACTTCCCAATTTAATAGATTATGAACAGATAAAAATCATTTATTTTATAATGTTAGACATATGCAACATAAAATGGCTAAATGAAGTTAATACATCTTGCCATAGATTCTGTTGAGAAAAAAGTTTATTATAATCAAGTATGATAGAATGACAGTGTTTTCTAAAGGGACTCAAGAACAGTTTACTGAGATTTTAGGATAAAAATAGTAGCTCACCAAGAGTGGTAATAAAACAGAAATCAGCAGGCTAGTGGTAGAGGTGGTGTTGGAGCCCAATAGGTAGGGCTGGAGTGATGGGGAAGGTTAAGGGCCCTGGCTGCCCTTCCAGAGGACCCAGGTTCAATTTCAATTCCTGGTACCTACACTGTAGCTCACAAACATCTGTAACTCCAGTTCTAGGGACTCCAAGACCTTTTTCTGGCCTCTATGGGCACCAGGCACATATGTGGTACACATATATAGATGCAGGTAAAACACCTATACACATTAAAAATGAATTAAAAATTTTAAACATTAAAAAAAAGTAAGTAAGAAAAACTGAGGAGAGCAAGTAGGTGAAGTATTTTCTTGGAAGAGGTGGGAGAAGAAAAAGTACTAGTCAAAATACAGAGGATTTTGAAAGTCATGTTTCGAAGACAATATTCTAGCCCAGAGCCACTAAATGGTTCTAAGTATGATTGAGATGTATGTCTAGAAAGGCAAAACAGACAGGAAAGTGGTCAAAACACTCGGTAATTCGGGTATTTCTGTAACCTGGAAATAACCTTAAAATTGACATAAGTTTACAGAGTTATTTCTTGGTAGTTTTCAATGACCTATTATCTGTGTGCCTCCTCCTTACAAAGAAGGTCTGTCCTAATGCCACAGCAATGCAAAGTCAGGGACTTTGGACGAGAACTGTGTTCTCAAGTGTTGCTGTCTGAATGATCTTTCATTAGTAGGCATACGATACAGTAGAGCGAACTATAAAACCAAATGTTACTAATGGCTGTTACAAGAAAAGGGGATTAACATAAAACAAGCTCCTGTTAAAGGCAACCTTGTCAGTGTTCACACAAGATTAGCATGCACTTGAGTTCACTTCTTGGAAACTTAATATCCAGAAACACGTATTAAAAGAGGGGATACAAACATAAATCAAAGGAGACATGAAAAAGTGTGAAATTACTCACCAGCAGCAAACTTGGTGATAGGCGGGAGCCTTACTGACATGGTGTTCTGAAGTCCTTTACGTTTAACTATCTTTTTATTAATTAATCCTGGGGTGGGTAAAAGGCGTAATGGGAAAGTTCTTTAATGAAAAAGTATGGTGAGGAAAAGTTTTTCCTTGTTATAATAAATGTATAATATTCCCAATTAAATTAGAGGCAAAGCAAAGATGTTATTACCACTGCTATTAAATAGTGTCTGAAGTTAATGAAATCATGAAAATAAGTTGTATGAAATAACAGGAAAACACTATTACTTTTCAAGGATACTATAGTCATAGAGGAAATGAATCAAAAGAACCAAACAGTGCCAGTCAGGGTTTCACTGGGATGTTTCCCAACCAATAGAAAGGCCACCCAGTAAGTGGCCAACACCGTAGCAGTAATCTGATAAAAATATAGTTAAAAAAATTTTGTGTGCTTATTAGCAAAAACACACACGAAAACCTGTAAAGTCCCACTGAGTACCATCATATGTGTAGTGGCACATGAGAACTAAAAACTTTCTCTGAAAATCATACAATCCTAGGTGAGAAGAGCTGGGAAGGGATTACCTCTCTCCAATTTTATTCCAGGAGTTACTTTAGAAATGTGAATATAAAACACATGGGTATACAAAGGTATTTGCTTAAATAATGCCTCCCTCGTAAACTTCTCAAAGAGAAAAGTGTTATCCAAGAGAAGAAATGAATTAATGGAACTTTAGGTCTCTCATAGAACCCTGAACTGATTGTGTGTGTGTGTGTGTGTGTGTGTGTGTGTGTGTGTGTGTGTGTGTGTGTGACCAACACCATGTTTCTACCTTGCAAATGACTTACCATGCCCCAAGCTCTTGTTGAATTTTTCATGGACTGTAGAAAAGGACTGCAGAGTTCCATCTTGACCTAGCGATATGAACAGAAACCCCAGTCACATTTCATACAGAACACGCCTGTTAGGACAGTCCAACAATGGAGCCGGTCATGTGAGTGCGTCTAAGGAAACAAGAGTCTTGTGATCTGTTTCTCTGAAACATAAAATTACTCTTAGAGTATGTTTTTGTGCTCCAGGTGTAGCAGATAGGAGTGAGTGAACTTCAGCTGTTGTTATTCATAGGCCTCTATAGAAAAACAGGTTTTTGCCACAGCTATCTTGCCCTTGTGGTTGAACACCTTAATCATGTGATTCTTTTTTTTTTTTTTCCCTTGGTTTTTCGAGACAGGGTTTCTCTGTGTAGTTTTGTTGCCTGTCCTGGATCTCAATCTGTAGACCAGGCTAGCCTCAAATTCACAGAGATCCGCCTGGCTCTGCCTTCCGAGTGCTGAGATTAAAGGCGTGCGCCGCCCCGCCGCCGCCGCCGCCACCGCCACCGCCACCGCCACCGCCACCGCCACCACCACCACCGCCGCCCAGCTAATCATGTGATTCTTAACCCTAAGATTATAAATTACCTAATGCTCTGAATAAAATTGGCTATGGCATGAGACTTTTAGTCTGCCTCATTTTTTGGCCCCGCTCTCCCAGGTTTCACGCCACCAACCACAGCAGTAAACACATGCCAATCACAGATGTTGGAAAGTTTGGTTCTACGCAAAGCTACAGTTTGGAACACTTCAAAGAGCTATTTCAATTGAAAAGTCTGTAAATACCAAACCAATTGAATACTGAGTTTCTACCTCTTAATGTTTACTCAAAATAATGCTAAGTAAGAAGCAGGGACTCACTTGCACTTAAAATCTGCTGTCCATTTTGTCCATAATATCTGATCTTGGTAAGAGAAGCACTATGTCCCATCCTGAATCTCAACAGTCGTCCTTCCCCTGCAGGGCCATCAAATATCCATATCTACAGAGAAACAGAACACGAGCTGCTTCAACCATGTGCCATCCGCAAGGAGTTCAGTCGTCTCCTGAACACGTTAACCAACACCGGGCAGTGCCTGCAGTGCCCGCCACTGGCTCCTCGAGGGGTTTCAGAAAAAAATCAGCTGCAATTCCTAACCGCTCGCCAGTCACACACCCTGCTAGATTTCTGTTTCATCTGTACCAATCTCATCCCACACTCCATTAGCCATAAGTTCAAGGCTGACATATTAAAACAAACTTATAATAACCCCAAGCCACTTGTGCTTAGAAGAGGACAATAATCATAATACCCTAAGAGCATTGTCAGCGCCATTTGTAACAAGCAGCGGTTCTCTGTGGAGAAATGTCAGCCCAGCTATTGCTGTGGAGTGTGCATTTCTCATTTGATTGATTAATTTTTTGTCTTCCAGATCCCAGAGTCCAATATGGCCACACGGGCTTCCAGCTGCCATTACAGGATGACCATCTGTTAATAAAATAAAAGCATTTACCAAAACATACCAAGACAATAATTCTCTCGATGTATAATTAATCTGCCCACATTTCTATGCTTTCTTCTACCTTAGTCTTATCTTAGTTTCTATTAGGTTAAACTACAAGAAAACATGGTTTTTAAAAATAACCTTATCTTTTTAGTGATGAATTCTAAGGAGTCTTAACTCTTACTTAAGTAAGTTAAGTTACCTGTGCGAAATGAAATGGAAGTAATGGGTCCCCAGTCCTGACGGAACTTCATTAATGTTTCATCGAACTTAATGTTGTGAATGACAACTTGACCAGACATAAGACCAACGGCAACAACATCCACAGCCGGTGCCTGAAAATTAAATGACTCAGCCTTTTATTTTCTTAAACAATAAATATAACTTCTTGATGATGTACACTACTATGTGCTATCAACGAAATGAAGTATCTTCTAAAAGGAAGAAGAGGAACCCCACTAATACTATCATTCTGGCATTATCAGTCACTAACATGCAAGTATTTAACAATGTATTTTTCAAATTACTTCCCAGCTTCAATTCTGCTAGTCACAGTGACTTTCCAACCTTACATCAGTGCTGACTTGGTAAGAAAACAGTCATACAGAAAAGGAGACTTTATATGAATTCACTACGATCTCTGACTAGAAAAAATGGGGGGAAGGTCAAATCTTAAAAGCATGGAAAGACTTGCCATAAGCATGGAAACATAAGTGACCCACTTAAATGGGAAGTAAATAACTGTTTACTAAAAGAAAATAGGAAAAACCTATAAAGCATTTTACTGTTTTATAATTAGTCGGTTCCAGCATTAATAGTCAATAATTACAATGGTCTTTGGTCTAACAGAGAAGCTTCCCTAAGAGTTCCTGTTTTAATACAGATGAATATCCAGTATCATTATGAAATGAGTCAGGCTATACATTTCATCAGCAGGCTGTTAAGTGCCTACTACAGCTAGACTCTAGAAGCTAAGGACAACAAACAAACAAGGTCCTTGTCCTCCAGACACTTAATCACTTGAGAACTGGAGGCTTCAGGGCATACAATCAGAACCAGAACAACGCCAATGGTGGAATGCAAACAAACTAAGCCGGTGTGGGCAGCGCATGTTTAGAAAAGTAAGGCTACACCAGTAGATAAACCAGATATCCTGCAGATGTACATCCATGCACACGCTTGGCTGACTAAACGTGAAAACAAAAGCAGTTGGTTATGGCAGATTCTACCATCTAATAAACACTAGATTTGGAGCTTCAATTATTTCAAACGCCAAAGTTCAGTCCTGATGGACTTTGCTCTGTGCTCTCCAGTCTCCTTTCCATCATAGTTAAGGCATTGAACGATACGCTCATTAATGAAATCACTAGGACATTCCAAGTACATAGAATCACACAAACTTTCATAGCAAAGCCAGTTTTCTTATTTTCAGTTAAGTTTCTATAACACTATTTCCTCAGGGTAACAGTTTGAAAAGAAAGTAAGGTACAAATCTTTACTTAAGTCTAAAACACGGTCACTCTAGGAAAGGTGTGGCTACACTAGCCTTGTTTTTCTTTAATAAACAACACTAACCTGCTGAAGGGCTGTCACTCCAACTTTCCACCCTGGAAATGTATACAGAAGTTTACTGTAAGAAGAAAGAGATAAAACTTAGTTTTCAAAAAAAAAAAAAACACACAAAAGCAACTACGTATTTAAGAAAATAACAGGTGCTGTTTATTTTTTATCAAGGGATGCTATAGTCTCTTTTTAAAGGACTCTTATGCATATGGGTGCTTTTGCCTGAATGTTATAGCTGTGTACCACATGTTTACAGAGCCCTCAGAGTCCAGAAGAGGGTGTTGGAATCTCTGGAACTGGAGTTACAGATTGCTGTCAGCTGCCATCTGGGTGCTGAGAATTGAACCCAGGTCCTCTGGAAAAGCATCCAGTACTCTTAACCCCTGGGCCATCCCTCTGGCACCTAGATGCTGTTTATTATAAATTCTGGCTTCAACACTCACTATTCTTAGAACATATGTTAATTTACTTAATATTTCAAATGTAATCACATAAAATAAATGCTATCAGTATTCACCATTTCCCAGAAAACAGAAGTGAAATAATTAGGCTAAGATAACGTAGTAAGGAAGGGAGTCGAGATGGATTTTAGACCTCAAGCTGCTAATTGCCAGTTCTTAAGAAAAAAAATATTATGAACAAAAATCATATTAGAGTACAATAACAAAAGTAAAATATAGGTAGACTTCATTTTTTATTACAAATTAATTATTTCTAGAAACATCATCACAGATGGGAATAGTATTTGTACATTTCATGAATTATATAGGACAATTCTGATGCTGCCCTTGGTTTCAGAATCAAACTATCAATGAAATGAGGTCATGACACAAACATAAAAAACAAAACAATCACCAAAGAATTAAATCATAAATTCAATTGTGCAAATGGGCATAGTTTAGATTACTCAAAAACTATGCAATGGATAAAGGACAGCAAATAATGTAAAAGAAAAATCTAAGAAAATCACTATGGATAGAAACAGATTTTGGTCAATAACCCTGAACCTGGCACAGAGTAGGCAGTCAAAAGCGTTGAGTTGAACTGAAGACTGATTGGAAACTAAGAAATAGGATTAATATCAAACCTTCCTCTTGCAACCTTATAAAGGCTTCAGAAAGGACAACTGGGAAGGACTCAAATATTTTGTCTATGTGTGAGTGCCCACGTGTACGTATGCACACCACATGCACGCTTGGTACCTGAGGAAGAGGTGTCACATCCCCTGGAATTATAGTTACAGGCATTTGTGAGCCACCTGATGGGGGTGCTGGGAACCAAACCCAGGTCCTCTGCAAGAGCAGAAAATGTTCTTAACTACTGAGCCGTCTCTCCAGGCCCTTGTTTGCTTTTTAAAACACTACATAAAGAAGGTTGAGCTGCCTTCCCTTCTCTTTGGATACGTGTTCAAATAACAGGTAAATATATACTTAAAATCATTTTGGCAGTCTTCCATCTCTACTAACAGTAGACAGTAGATTGACAGTGATTAAAGTAATTTGTGTTTAAAAAGATTTTTACTAGTTACTGCCCAATTACTTTATGGAAACCTTCACTAGGACTCCATGGATTCTTCTCCATTATTGAGCCATTGGCACTTATGACACTACTCATCAAGTACCAGGACAACAGACCAGCTTTCACATGTGCTATCAAGGCAGTATTTCAAAGGGAGTATAAGGGAAACAGAATGAGTGAAGAGACTTCCTAATCCTTGAGGAAGCAGTAGAGGAAGTGGGAGTTACCTAAGGCACTTAAATGAAGCGCTTACTTGGATTTTACATTCCATAACTGCAGGCTTCCCTGTTCACTGCCCAGCAGGACTTTATTCAAGTAGGTGCTTGGATGCAAAATTGTAGAAATTTGAAAAACTGATTTATCAAATGTCAACTGAAGGTATTCTTCTACAAAAGTAAAAGTTATTAACAAAAGTTATTAACAATATAATTATTGTTTATGAAATAATTTTTTACATTTTTCATATAGTCACATCTACTACATAAGTCAATATAGCACACTAGAGACTTACTATAACGAAATCAAAGACTTACATATTAATCTAAAACATTTATTTTATTTTGTTTATGTGACAGACACACATGTACAGTGTGCATGTGATGTCAGAGAACAGCCCATGGAGTTGCTGGTTCTCTCACTCCATGCAGGACTAACACCGACCACCGGCAAATGCCGTTATCCAATAAACACTTCTTGAGAAATAAAATGTAATAGGTCACCTTGTAAATGCCATTTAGACTACCAAAAATAATTGACAAGTTCTAGTGTAAATACTACTGCTCAAAATTATACTGCCAAATCAGTTTACAGAAAGGATTAAAAATGATCCTGAGGATCAGCATTAGGATTTTTATAATTCAATAAAGAAGCAGGAAAGAAAGTTCTAAATGAAACACAAATATTTACAAAGCTCAATGAGTCACTGAAATAAAATACAAAGAGGCAAACCTCATCAAAACTAACAACAGTAATGATCACACATTTCCTCAAAAGAGTTTCCAACAGAGGAAGTCAAGTTATAATCCTGCAGAGTGTGTGTATGTGTGTGTGGGGGGGGGGGTACAGCGAAGAGTTACTTGCTGAACAATCAAAAAGCTCTTAGAAATTGTATGTTTACTACATTTACAGATTACTCTTTATTTTGCTTTTTATTTCAGTTTGTGATTAAAACAATGTTTCGATAATGTGCCAAAAATTTAGTATCAAAGAAGACACAATAGCTGGGTGGTGGTGGCAAACACCTTTAATGCCAGCACTCAGGAGGCAGAGGCAGGCAGATCTCTGTGAGTTCAAGGGCCAGCCTGGTCTACAGAGTGGGTTCCAGGACCGTCAAGGCTACATGAAGAAAACCCTGCCTCAACGACCGTCCCCCAAAGGCACACAGGAGAAGGATAAGGGAAAAGTATGCAAACATCAGAATGTACTTTACTATGTCCTTGCCTTTTCATGCCAGCAGTTTTACTTGAAGTCACTATAAATAGCTCCACGCTGCTGTAACAGCAGCAAAAAATCTGGGAATTGGCATTAAGAAGGAGCCACATCTGAGACCTTATGAACACCTGTCATCACAGGAAGTACTTTCCCTTACATGAGTAAAAAGGAAACAAAGGATTATAACTTCAATGAGGAAATGGGATACCTCCCACAAGGGCAGTATCTAAACATTATTTACTAAAAACAAACATGCTTACTGTTCAATAGATCACCGAGAGGTAGTAGTAACTAAAAATGCAATGAAAAGATCCAATTCAGAATGGACACACAGTACCCTGATGAAGGAAAAACTAGGGATAGCCTGGTGGTAAACTCCTCACCTTTGAGGCTTACACAAGCTTTAAACACAGTGCTGCTGCAAAGGAACATCAATTAAATGGCACTGACTCACATCCTTTGGAAAAGGATGACTATTTTCTTTCAGGCTACAGGATCTTCAAGTTTACAACCACAATCTCCTTTACTTAAAGTTGAAGATATTACCCAAGAATGACTCAGGTGTGACTGTGTGTCCAAATTAATTTCACAGAGAAAACCACAGAACATATCCCCAACCCTGGAGGATGTATTAGCTGAGATGAGTACACCTAATATACTGAAGGTGTGCACAGTCTAAGTAATTGTTTATTGAGAACCTTTTTTCATACATGCTAAATACTCCCAGTGTTTTGTTGTATACATGTGAAAACTCTGGTAGAGAACTTACAGTTTTCAAAGACTTTTAACTACATACATAAGTATATATAATATCCCCATGCAGAGAAATAAAGTCTTACCTTCTGAATATATGTGCCAAATGATAAGAATGCTGTCAGTATCCACTGAGGATAACGTGATCCCCAAAGGGTTGCAAAAGATGGATTTCTGCTTTATGGCCCTTAAAAGTATGTACTATCTATAATGTGAAAGTTTAAAAGAAATTCATGTTACTCAGTCCATCATGTATTATCAGAAAGCATGTTAACACTAAAAATGTTCATGCTAAGAAATGTAGTCCAACTTTTGATTAGCTAAGATTAAATGATGAAATAAAAAGGAACCAGGCCCGTTCATCTGCTCAACCAGCCAATTCATAAGGAAGTGTAGTAGGAAGATGTCATAAATGAGAGCTAGAGAGCTCAGCCTCTCTGCAGTAGTTCAAGAAGTGGCGTGCACACACACAGGGCCCCGGCCGCAGTACTACCAGAGTAAAACCGTATATCCTAGAAAAATGTATGCGACAGAAGACTGGCCTCCAGAGATTCCACCATAGTGACTTGCTGATGAGACAGGAAAAATAGGCATAGACTACTTCTTCCTTATACCATTCTGGTTTGACACAGAAACACATTACAGTAGCTAGTCCTTCCATAACTTTCTCCTCCAGGGCTCGGTTCCCACCAGGACCCAACAATTCTACTCTTTTCCTTGGTCCTTTGCCCAGCAGGTGGTCAGTTTCCCCACAGCTGATAGCCTCCAACATCTCCTTGTCTTTACTTTGTTCCCCTAACCTCAAACATACAGTGCATACTTAATGTTTATTCAACTGCGTGCACACGCGCACAAGCGCGCGGCTGCAGCGCTGCGCACACCACACACACGAAACCCATCTTCTCTTCCTTTAGAAACTGATATAAAATAAAGCAAATTAAAGTAGTTCATAATTTAAACCTTAAAGGCAGGTGGTGGTGGCGGCACACCTTTGATCTCAGCACTCGGGGAGGCAGAGGCAGGTGGATCTCTGTGAGTTCGAGGCCAGCCTGGTCTACAGAGCAAGATCCAGGACAGTAAGGGATACTCTGTAGAGAAACCCTGTCTCGAAAAACAAACAAAACAAAAACCATAACAAACCTCTTTATTACGGCAAATGCAGAGAAAACATTCCCATATGCAGCAAAGACTAGCCTCCGATCAGCTGCCCATTGCAACAGATATCCCGTGGAACAGAGTTACCTAGGAAAACAGAAAAGAAATGTGGTTGTTAAGGACTCTGGAATGATCGGAAATCTTAAATATACATAAAATATTTTCACGACTGTACTTCAAATTTAAATAAAGATGAGAATCAGGGTATAAAATTTTTACTTCAATGTCATAAATATGTATAGCATGCAGACATAACAGAATTCTAAAGAAAGAAAAATCTTTTTTGAGAAGTTGAAAAAAAATCAGCACTTAATATACAAAATTCTGGCAGATGGACAACTAAATAGCTATCACTGCGAACATGTTTAAACAAAATAATTCCAAGAAAAACTGAAAAGTAAATCGCAACTTGGACTAACCTAAAAACTCTATACAGTATTCTAGATGCTGAGCACTAAAATAATTACATACATTATGGTTTCTACTCAGACTTTTGCAAAGTAAATATGCCTATTACCTCCAGCCATTCTCACATGATATTATTTCCTAAGGCCTCTTTCACTTATACAATCACAATGCCCATTCCTTCTCTCTTAGGGCGAAAAGAGTTTTGTAGACAGAGGACAGTCTCAGGTAGTTTTAACCCTGTGTGTTTCCATTTGGGGATTTAGGTTCTACAACAGTATTTTTATAGGACTACCGATTTACTTCTTACTCAACTTGGTTTACTCTCTTCTGCTTATTTACTTAAAACCAAACAAAACACACACATGGTTTATCAGATATATACAATGAATTCCTTAAGTCTTACATCTAACAAGGATTGTATTTGAGGGTAAAACTAGTCTGTCTCAGCTGCCAAGCCCTTAGTCTATTAAACAGCTCAGAAAGTAAATACACTTCTCACTGACAACAACAACAAACTAAATTGAGTCTCTCTCTATAGATAGATAGTATAAATAGATAGATAGATAAGATAGATAGATATTTTAATAGTAGAAGGAATAAACACAGTAGTTGGTCCTTCCATAACTAAATCCCTTTCTCCTCCAGAGCTTTAGTTCCACCAGGATCCAACAACACTACTCTTTGCCTTGGTCCTTTGGCCCAAGTGGCGGTCAGTTTTCCCTATAGCTGATAGCCTCCAACGTCTCCCCGCCTCTATTTTATTCAGCTAACCCTGAGCATACAGTGAATGCAGTTCTTCCATTGAAGTTTCTTTGTCTGCATACACACCCCCCAAATATCATGCCAATAACTGATTCTGTCAAGTATCATGCAAGAGCTAAGAGGACACTCTGAAGAATAAAAGGACAATCAGTCTCTAAGTGCATGTTACCACAAAATAAGTAGTGACAACAAAGGATCCTCCTCACCAAAGTCTCCTTAACCAAATCATCAAAGTTATCACTGAGAGGAATAAGGCTAGCAACAGCACATGTCTCCCAACACAGCACCAAGATACCTGAATCCAGAAACCTCAAACTGAAAGTATTAAAAGACAACAAAAAAAACCTGTACTCCTCATAAGCTCCAATCTCATCTGAGATGGACTTTAGTTGTACAATGTCTGCTTAGCATGTGCAAGGCCAAGGGTTTGATTCCCAGCACAGAAGAACCAGCCATTAAAAAAAAATAATAATAATAATAATAATGTAGATCAGAAAAACAAAGTTCTGATGAACTATAACTAAGTGATATGGCAACTAACAATACAGCATCCTGCACTTTAAATTTATGACAAAATCAAAACTAGATGTAGCAAACATGAACAAATTCAGAACAAAGTACACTTACTTACTGCAACCAGACTAAGTTTCTGAACCTGTTTAAAAAAAAAAAAAGAATTAAACACATTTTCATTAACAAAACAATTACAATACCTAAGACCCCAAAATTCAGTTATTACCTCCTAAATAAATTTGCTATGCTGTCCTTGCGAAGAAAAGATACTCACTGATCCTAACTTGTATGATGAAGAATTGCCTGTATTTTCACCTGTTTTACCAGGGGGTGATGAGATAAGTGACAGACAGCTTCTGTAAATGGCTTTGTGGGTCACACAGATTTTGACTGTGGCATGAAAGCACACGCACATAATAAATGGGCATGGGGTGAACTCCAGTAAACTTTTATCTATGGATATTAAATTCTAATTTTTACATAGTTTTCATGTCATAAAATAATTGTGATCTTCCTCCAAATTTTACAAAAATATGGAACCACTCATAACACACAAAAACAATGGTCATGACTAGTTTACACACTGTAACTCACTGATTTTAGTATGTGGGTAGTAATCCAGCTGGGTGACATCAGGAACTTTACTTAGCTACTATGTACCTCAATTTGTCCCTTCTGGAGGAAAAAGTGGGGTGGGATTAGAATGAATACCACACATTATAGGATCATTCAATGAGATTTTGAGGTAAACATCTGTAAAACAGAATGGAGCCAATCATACAGTAAATGTTCAATAAATATTAGCTATCTAAAATATGTCCTATCCAAAAATCTGTCTAATTTCTTGTATTACAAGCGAATCTGTGAGAAGTCTGAAGGCATGGTAAAAAAAGCTAGAGGAGAGATAAATGGTAGAAACAAGTTAGCTTACAAGTTATCTTGGGCACATCAGTGACTTGAACACAAAAGGTTCATATTTTTACTGTCAAGTTATTTCCCGTTTCAGACAATGCACTGGTTGGTATGAGCAGCACAGAGT